TTGATGATAATGATGATGAAGATAATGATAGCTGTTGGTGGTGACGATGATGATGATAATGATGATGATGAAGGTGTTGATGATAATGATGATGGTGGTAATGATGATGAAGGTGATTATGGTGATGATAATGATGATGAAGGTGTTGATGATAATGATGATGAAGATAATGATAGCTGTTGGTGGTGGTGGTGACGATGATGATGATGATGAAGGTGGTTGTGATGATGATGATTAAGGTGTTGATGATAATGATGATGGTGATAATGATGATGAAGGTGTTGGTGATAATGATGATGATGAAGGTGTTGATAATAATGATGATGAAGATAATGATAGCTGGTGGTCGTGGTGACGATGATGATGATGATGAAGAAGGTGGTTGTGATGATGATGATTAAGGTGTTGATGATAATGATGATGGTGATAATGATGATGAAGGTGTTGGTGATAATGATGATGATGAAGGTGTTGATGATAATGATGATGAAGATAATGATAGCTGGTGGTGGTGGTGACGATGATGATGATGGTGATGATGGTGAAGATGAAGAAGGTGGTTGTGATGATGATGATTAAGGTGTTGATGATAATGATGATGATAGCTGGTGGTGATGATGATGATGAAGGTGGTTGTGATGATGATGATTAAGGTGTTGATGATAATGATGATGATGGTGATAATGATGATGATGATGATGATGATGATTAAGGTGTTGATGATAATGATGATGATGATAATGATGATGATGAAGGTGGTTGTGATGATGATGATGATTAAGGTGTTGATGATAATGATGATGATGAAGGTGGTTGTGATGATGACGATTAAGGTGTTGATGATAATGATGATGATGATGGTGATGATGAAGGTGGTTGTGATGATGATGATGATGGTGGTGGTGATAATGATGATGATGAAGGTGGTTGTGATGATGATGATTAAGGTGTTCATGATAATGATGATGTGATAATGATGATGAAGGTGATGATGCTGATGGTGGTGATGATAATGATGATGAAGGTGTTGATGATGATGATGATTAAGATGTTGATGATAATGATGATGAAGATGATGATAGCTGGTGGTGGTGATGATGATGATGATGATGATGATGATGATGATGATGAAGAAGGTGGTTGTGATGATGATGATTAAGGTGTTGATGATAATGATGATGATGGTGATGATGATGAAGGTGGTTGTGATGATGATGATTAAGGTGTTGATGATAATGATGATGATGATGATGATGATGATTAAGGTGTTGATGATAATGATGATGATGATGAAGGTGGTTGTGATGATGATTAAGGTGTTGATGATAATGATGATGATGATGAAGGTGGTTGTGATGATGACGATTAAGGTGTTGATGATAATGATGATGATGATGGTGATGATTAAGGTGGTTGTGATGATGATGATGATGATGAAGGTGGTTGTGATGATGATGATTAAGGTGTTCATGATAATGATGATGTGATAATGATGATGAAGGTGATGATGCTGATGGTGGTGATGATAATGATGATGAAGGTGTTGATGATGATGATGATTAAGATGTTGATGATAATGATGATGAAGATGATGATAGCTGGTGGTGGTGATGATGATGATGATGATGACGATGATGATGATGATGATGATGAAGAAGAAGAAGGTGGTTGTGATGAGGATGATTAAGGTGTTGATGATAATGATGATGATGATGATGATGATGATTAAGGTGTTGATGATAATGATGATGATGATGAAGGTGGTTGTGATGATGATGATTAAGGTGTTGATGATAATGATGATGGTGATAATGATGATGAAGGTGATGATGGTGATGATAATGATGATGAAGGTGTTGATGATAATGATGGTGATAATGATGATGAAAGTGTTGATGATAATGATGATGGTGATAATGATGATGAAGGTGATGATGGTGATGGTGGTGATGATAATGATGATGAAGGTGTTGATGATAATGATGGTGATGATAATGATGATGAAGGTGATGATGGTGATGGTGGTGATGATAATGATAATTAAGGTGTTGATGATAATGATGATGGTGATAATGATGATGAAGGTGATGATAGCTGGTGGTGGTGATGATGATGGTGATGATAATGATGATGGTGATAATGATTATGAAGGTGATGATGGTGATGGTGGTGATGATAATGATGATGAAGGTGTTGATGATAATGATGGTGATGATAATGATGATGAAGGTGATGATGGTGATGGTGGTGATGATAATGATAATTAAGGTGTTGATGATAATGATGATGGTGATAATGATGATGAAGGTGATGATAGCTGGTGGTGGTGATGATGATGGTGATGATAATGATGATGGTGATAATGATTATGAAGGTGATGATGGTGATGGTGGTGATGATAATGATGATGAAGGTGGTGATGATGATTAAGGTGTTGATGATAAAGATGATGAAGGTGGTGATGATAATGATGGTGATGATGAAGGTGGTTGTGATGATGATTAAGGTGTTGATGATAATGATGATGAAGGTGATGATGGCAGGGTTTCCCTTACATAGCGGGCCGCCACGGCTGAAATCCCACCGCCACGCCTACAACATCCCAAGTTTTATTGATGTTTTTTTTTTTTTTTGCGCCGTTTCCCAAAGAAGCAGCAGGAACTACTGTGTTGTTGCTTGTGATCACAGCCGGCAGGTAGCAAGGAGGAGGAGGCAGGGCCGGGTGGTTACAGCTATGAGCGTACGGATAAAGCATTTTTGACGAATACGAGCAAGAAACGAGTGTAAAACTCGTAAATATCTGTAATCGTGCTGAATGAAATCCTCATTGGGTAACTGACTGTCTTCACGCTCTGTGATTGGCCAGTCAGATAGAGCGCCCGCCCCTCCCTACACACAAAACTGCAGCCGGGAGCTCCGTCAGCTCGGCCCAGGCATCAACGCACACACACAGTAGCCGGGCGGACACTGTGCGACTTTTTCACTTTTTTGAGCAGATTTTCCACTCGTGCGAGAATCCACAAGATCGGGGCGAGTTTTGCGCCGAGCGTCGTGTAGTGTACGGGGGTTACGAGAGGCGATTAACACCACGTGACCAGCTACCGATCAGCAGTCGTGAGCTCGCACGGACTTCTGGAGTGTTTGATATTTATCTCGTTCCTCATGAGGGTTGAAGCGGCGCAGCGAGCAGCTGCGACCCAAAAAGTATCAGAACCGCTCACGGCGCATTCGCAATCCTGCATCAACTCCGCTCACCCGCTATTTCCCTAATAACACACGCTGTTCGTTTTTATTTCTACACGTTTTTTTACTCACAAAGATTGTCAAGAAAGCGTGTTTGTCTTGTTCATATCGAATTAAACTGATCACAAAACACAGATTTACTTTCTTTATTTCGTTTCCTCATCCAACCCCCATAAATCCCTGTGTCCTCCTGCAGCACTCCCAAAGGACAACAGGCAAAACAAGACAAAAAAGTCTGACGTGTTGTGTAAAAACTGCTATTTTTAGCATATTTTTAGGGCCGACGTGTTGCTACCAGACGTACAGTGTGAGCACATGACTCGTGAGATCTACCCTGCGCTGAAGTCGTACAGTTTGAGCTGAAGCTGTGTTACGAGTGAAAAAGTCGCAAAGTGTCCGCCCAGCTTATTATAATGTTCACTGTAATGCATCTTGATGTTCTTAACAAATAAATTAAAAAAAAAATATTGGTCAGTAATGCCAAATATGTAAATTTGTGTTTCAGTCATTTTTATACTGGCTTAAAAATACTTCATTAAGTCTAGTAAGCAGGGGTGTAGAACGTTTTTATTAGGGCCAGCCCAGTAATGATCTTGGACCAAAATAAAGGGGGCAGAAAGTCAAATAAAGGGGGCAGAAAGTCAAATAAAGGGGGCAGAAGAAGATGTTTTTTCAGACGCCAAGAAAAATTAAATGCCAACCCCCCCTGCAAAGTGTGTCACTGAGAGTTTAAAACAGAAATTATTCTTGTGCAAATATTGGTGTATTCACCTTTAATACTAGTTATTACAATGCAGCAGTCGCTGGATTGGTGCAGTTCAAAGTGGAGTGCATCAAATAAAACAATATTAACATAAAGGTGAGACGTGTCATAACCCCCCCCCCCCCCCCCCCCCCCCCCGTCAACACCACCTCCACCACAGCTGGAAAAATTCCTAGGGGAAACACTGTGATGGTGGTGATGATAATGATGATTAAGGTGTTGTTGATAATGATGATGGTGATAATGAAGATGGTGATGATAGCTGGTGGTGGTGGTGATGATGATGATGATGACGGTGATGGTGATAATGATGAATAATAATGATGATGATGATGATGATGATAATGATGAAGGTGTTGATGTTAATGATGATGGTGAAAATGATGATGAAGGTGGTGGTGATGATGATGGTGGCGGTGACGACGATGATGATGATGATGATGATGAAGGTGGTTGTGATGATGATAATGATGATTAAGGTGTTGTTGATAATGATGATGGTGATAATGATGACGGTGATAATGATGATGACGGTGATGATAGCTGGTGGTGGTGGTGATGATGATGATGATGACGGTGATGGTGATAATGATGAATAATAATGATGATGATGATGATAATGATGAAGGTGTTGATGTTAATGATGATGGTGAAAATGATGATGAAGGTGGTGGTGATGATGATGGTGGCGGTGACGACGATGATGATGATGATGATGATGAAGGTGGTTGTGATGATGATGATGATGATTAAGGTGTTGATGATAATGATGGTGATGATGAAGGTGGTTGTGATGATGATGATGATTAAGGTGTTGATGATAATGATGATGAAGGTGATGATAGCTGGTGGTGGTGATGATGATGAAGGTGATGATGATGAAGGTGTCAGCGTTTAAAACTTTGAATAAATCAGTTTCAATAGAATCTATTAATACACTCCATTGGGAACTTTTGCAGAACTCCGTTAACTTGAATCTTTTCCTCTCTGCCAGGTGTGCTCCTGGACCCATCTGCTTTGTGTTTTTGGCATCCTAGCGTCACAGGTGTTCCTGGCCCATGGACCTGTCTCCAACACCAGGCTTCAAAAGGAGGCTGGCTGCCTCCTCGTCCCCAGTAGAAGCTGAAGAAACATCCAGGAGCCCTTTTCTCTGCTCACCCTCTTCACCCCCTTCATCTGATCCATCTTCACCATCGTCTTCATCCTCCTTTTTCTGTGCAAAGTCATCTGCTTATCAAAATCATGTGAAATGTCAAAGAGAGGTGTCTGGGGTGTCCTCCACATCCACCTCTTCAGCTAGACAGCCTCTCCCCACTCCTTCATCCAGTACCATCTCTGTGGCCTGCTGTCCTCGTGGATCAATGCAGTTCAGTGAAGAAGATGGCCAGAAAGAGGAAATGTATGATCCTTTCAGTCCGACTGATGGGGATAAAGAGAGAAGGGTGGCAGATGAAGAGGGGGAGGGAGAGAAGTATGACCCCTTTGATCCCACTGGCTCTCCAGAATCAGATGTAGATGAAGACATTAAAAAAGAGGAGGAGGTTCACAATCCTGAGGAGAAAGAAGAAGAACCTCCAGATTCCACTGACACCTTTACAGACCAGCTGAGCCCCTGTCCAGCTCCCCAGCTGTCTCTGAGACGGAGACTGGGCAGCAGCACCCCCAAAGGCGAAGGGCAAAAAGAGAGCAGTGACTCTGACCATTCTGAGATAGAGGAGGGGGAAATTGTTGGAGCTGTTGACAGAGACAGGGCTAATAACAGACCTGATGAAGAGCAACTCACCTCAAACTCTCCCAAAATCTCTTTCTTTGCTTCTAAACCAGAGCGCATTCTCCGTGTGCTCGATGGAGATGGATTTGTATCCGTGTGCACGGAGGGAAACTGGGAGGATGACCAGGAGCTGGAGAACGAGCCTGTAGTTGGAGTGGAGGATTTGAGAAGGAAGTTGGTCAGTAGGAGGAAGGAAAGATATCACTCATTTCCTGCCTTGTCTCCCCTTTCTTCTCAGCCACCACTGCCTCCTTCTGTGCCTAAAGCTTCTGCAGTGTCCCCTCCACCCACATCTCCTGTAGAACAAACTGGCAAGAGCCACAAGTCCTCCAAGAGCTCCAAGGAGCGTGACCAACAGAAAAGCAGAGATAGGAAAGCTGGAGAAAAGGAAACCAGAAGGAAAAAGAGAAGGAAGGGCAAAGAGGGGGATAGGGACAGGAGCAAAGAAAAGGAACAAGGACACAAGGCTGGGAAGGAGGTTAGAGCAAGGAGGAGCAGCAGAAGCAGCAGTCAAAAGAGAAAGAAACGACTACACAGCAGCCCCGAAGATTCCCACAAGTCCTCTAGAAAGGGAGGGCATTCTAGACGATCCTTCTCCAGGCTGTCCGAGGAAAGACATCGAGATCAAGAAAGAGACAAAGACAGGAACAGAGACAGAGAAAGGGACAGATACGGATACCGAGACCGGGATGGAGATAAAGACCGAGATAGAGATAAAAACCGAGACAGAGACAGAGATGGACATCGTCATCGCAGCAGTAGCCATAGAAAAGATGAAAGAGTGCATGATTCCAGTTCTAGAAAAAGAGAGGGGGAAAAGAAGGGCATACGCCATTCAAGCAGCAGAGAGCGAGGCCTCACGGAGAGGTCCAAAAGGAGCAGGGACAAGAGGGACAGCGACAGACAGCATGAGATGGAGCGCCGGCGAGATGGGCGTCCTGTTGTGCCCCCATCTATCCAAGACCTCAACGGGTCCGATCTCTTTGCTATTAAGAGAACCATCACAGTCACAACCACTACCACCACCACCACCGTACCTGGCTCCCCCAGACTGTCCACAGCATCTCCCAGTCATCCCACACAGGTCAGCGAGTCGCATAAAAGGAAGAAAAGAAAATGGCATTCAGGTGGAGCTGCAGAGGAAGAGGGAAGCTGTCGCAGCTGGTCACAATCGCTTTCACCACCCAGGTATCATGGCTATGAGTCGGACCGCTACTCAGACAAATTGGAGATTGACATGTTGTCTTTAGATGGTGAAGCCTTGGATTCAGATTACCCCTCTATGGAGGATACGCCTCCGGCCACTTTGCCTCCAGAGCCTCCTGTCCCCAGCCCTAAAGCTAAAGCTACACCCAAGACCAGACGAAGTCACCCCAAAAAGAAGTCCCACGCATTAAAGAAATGTGAGTCCTCCACGTCTTCTAACAGAACCACCAGTAAATGCCTCTCCTCGCTAACCATCACTTCCGGCTCTGCGTCGGTTTCACCTGGTCTTCCCTTAGCAAAGCGGGCCAGAAAACTGGGCAAAGACAAAGACAGAGACAAGGGCGGCAGAAAGGATCTGAGTCGCTCCGGCAAATCCAAGAAAGATGGTGGAAGTGGTCGAAAGGGTAAGCTTCAATCCAAAGTGTCTGTTCTGGTGCGTGAGGGAGTGAGCAGCACCACAGGGGCCTCAGTTGGCTCCGGAAAGCTGAGCATGGACCTGCTAGGCTCTGGAGGTACAGCTGGCGGGGGCGGGGGCTCAATTGCAGTAGTCTTTTGCAGAGACAATGAAAGCAGGTCACCTTTCCTTAAACCATGTTCAGAGCCACTTTCTCTGGGTGGCCGCGGTAAAGACCTGAGCAGTCTGGGAAAACGGAGCAGCCTGGCTGCACCACCGTCAGCCCTAGCCAGCCCTGCAGGGCTCAAATCCAAGAAAACAAAAACCAGCTCCATCACATCCACCTCCTCCTCTGCATCTTCACCCTCGTCATCTCTAGCAACCAAGCGCCGCCGTCGCCTGGTCAAGAAGACCAGCAAAAAAGATGGAGGTGTTGGATTGGCTGCAGCAGATGGTAACCAATCCAAAGCCTCGTCTGAAGGCTGGGCCGGAGCCTCTTTAGATGTTCCATCAGCTGGTTTAGAGGGGAGCAAGTCTACTAATCCTCACTGTGGCCAAACAGGTCCTCCACCCTGTTCTTCCTCCTCCTCTTCCACGTCCTCCTCCACCAGTGTCCTCCCACCCTCCTCTTCTCCACCGCACACACCTCCACCATCTACTGCAACTCTGAGGGACACTAGAGAGTCTTCTCCAGACTCTCAGACTGTGGACAGTAGCTGTAAGACACCAGACCCATCTTTCCTAGCTGAAGACTGTCCAACTCAGACCAGTCCCACCCCTCCTGCCTCCAGTCCGTCCAGCCTGTCCACCCCTCAGGGAGCAGGCCTCACCAATGCCTTGTCTACACTGACTGCCAAGCCCCCTTTTCCAGATGATTCATCCAAATCTTTGGCTTCTCCTCCTTGCTCATCGTCATCAGCTGGCCTCACTTCTCTTTCTCTACCTCTGTCTTCATCCGACCCCTCCTCCTCTTCTTCTGTATCTTCTTCATGTGCCAGCAAACCACCCCCTCCTCCTCCGCCGCCCCCTCCAGCAGCTTCCGCCCTTCCCTGGAGTCTGCAGACCGGAGTAGACTGCACAACTGGAGGCGTCCTAGCACGTGAGAATAAAATACTCCTTCTGTTCAAATGAAATTTGCTTTTGTAGAACTTCAGTCTTTTTTAACCAAACCAAGCAACGGCCCTTTTTGTAAAGACCCTGAGAGCAAAAGCACTCCGGAACAAATAAAACTATAGCTTAACTCATTCACTGCCCGCCGTTATCTGATCAGAAAGCCTCTGACTAGCAGCATCTTTGATCCTTTTTACTGTTTTTTTTGAAGAGTCACAGAACATTGTGCTCTGTGATCATGTTAACACCAAAACTACCAAAAGAAAGAGTCGGCTCACTCCTTGGGTCAGAGAGAATCGTGTTTCTAGCTGTTCCATGCTTTCACAGTCATTTGTCGCAGTGTGAGCAGCAGCAGGTTTGCGCCTCGCTTTAGGCATGGCGGCGTCCCAAGCCGAGCTTCTAACTCATGAGTTGTCCGTTTCCCGGTCACGTGACGTGTGACACACATGGATGAAAATCAAAATTAGAGCCGTTACGTTTACTCTGAAGGTGCGACCTCGTTCCCAAGCCCATCCCTTTAAAAAACGTAGTAGACATCTTTTAGAAGCGAGCGACTGGGTTTAGAATGACGACTTTAGTCGTCAGTGGCAGTGAATGAGTTAATAAATGGATGGTATCAGACATGTTCATATCTGAGGCTCCCTGTTGGATTCATCCAAATAAAGCAGGAGAAACAAAGGCTGTGTCTCAATTCAGGGTCTGCTTCCTTCGAAGGACCCAGCCTACTCGGCCGACGTGGGCTGCGTCCTCCGTCGGCCGACTAGACCGGATGTTAACAGCTGTGAATTTGGACAGGCCTAGCCTTCATGAATTCCCGCCACTCCCTCGGCCAACGTTCCGTCGCCTAGCAACCGTGGAACCGCTGAGCAGAAGGGAGAAGGAACTTTAAACGATGGAGCTGGAAGTTTTATTTAGCTTTTTAATCATTTCCTTGACTGTTGGAGAGCTAATTCAGAGAAAATACTTGCGACAAGCTGAGCCTGAGCAAAGATGTGATAACAGTTTTTAATACTTTCTAAGGGTCTTAATTTGACCAAAACCCATTTATCACCTTTTAAGACTTTTCAGACCCAGCGGATACCCTGTAATATTAAACAATTCTCAATTGTAAACAAAAATAAAATTCAAGAGTTTATACAGAACTGATTTTATTTAGATATTTCTTTTATATGTACATGTTTAATCTTTCTTAACCATTTTTTCTGTCAAAATTCTTCCTTCTCTCCTGTGCCCTCTGCTGCTCTGCCTCCCTCTGCAGCCTCATGTCCTCCCTGATCAGCTCCAGAAGCTGGTCATCGCTGTCACCTTCCCCTGGATGCCCATTTTCTCCAGAATAGTCTTAACAAACATGTAAGAAAAAACAACAGGAAGAGAAGAGAGGACAACGGGTTATTCCTTTCATGTTTTTGCAGAAAAAACTAAACTTAAAATATGAGATGTTATTGTACCTCCATGCCACAGCCGCCGAATACTTTGCTCCGGTGATCATGTGGTCCATCTCCGCCCTAAGCTTAATAAATTCCCTGGTTTTCTCTTTTGTCCCTAAAATACAAACTCCTATTAAAATCAGGGAAAACGTAGCGGGAGAAGTACGACACCGAGCGCGGCCGAACAGACCGCAATACAAGCACTTTTACTGTAACATTTCTAACTAAAATAACGTTCATGTATCACAAAAAGCCCTTAACCTAACAGTTTTCTAGTTTATACTGACATTTATATGCGCAATCCTCTCCAACAGCTCCCGCTTCACTGTCCGCCATTGTTTTTAAAAGTTCTGCCGTCCGGCCCGCAAGGCATCGGGAAATTCAATTCAATTCAATTCAAAAATACTTTATTAATCCCAGAAGGAAATTGATTTGTAAACCACTGAAGGTTACACCGGACCCATCCTTCATTCAGGCGAAAAGAAGGCCGCATTCGTCGACCGCATTTGAAGGAGTCTTCGAATTGGGACAGGCCTAGTCGCGGCGCTGTGACGTAACCGGCCGACGAAGGATGCAGACCCTGAATTGAGACACAGCCTAAGAGTTGGAGAGAGAGAAAGTTGTGGTTGATGGTCTCCAAAAGCAACACGGCTCACCCCCGTTTTTGTTTACCTACTTGTGGCGGCGAGGAGGGCTTCTCCATTCCACTTTAGCAGAGCCTCACCACCCGTGTCCTCTTCCTGAGCAGGCTGTGTAAACACAACCCGGACATGTGGAGGCGGGCTCCGGCCCAGGCCAAGCTGACCTACTAATGAGCCATTCCCATCTGTACCGGGTCGGCCCGGGCCGGGTAGCCCCAGTCGGCCCCAGCCTGGCCCGGTTGATTCCACACATCCTTGTCTTAAGCCCATGTGGGCTGATTCTACCCACCAATCAGAGGCTTGCTCTAATGGAAGGTGTGACTTTGCTGTCAGCAGTGGGTGTGTTGGCCCTGGTCGGCCTGAAGCAGACCCCCTCAAGAAGAGGGCTGAGAATGAGCCTTGGTTGGCCCGGAAAAATACCAGGCCACTCAGATATGTAAACAACCTACGCTACCCGGCCCGGGCCGACCCGGTACAGATGGGAATGGCCCATAAGCCCGAGGTTCAGGGCTGAGGGGGACCCTGTAGCATTGTTACCTGAACGGTGTGGAAGTTCTGCAGTGTTCAGTGGCTGCTTCATTCATAACCATCATTATTTTGGTCAATTTTAACAATTATTCATCACATTTATTGATGGTTGATGAGTTCACGTTTTAAAGAGACTGCTGGTGTGAGTTGCCGGTCAGCAGGTGGCAGAGTTGGACGGTTTGAAACCGTAAATATCGGCCGATATGTCCCTGGTGTGTTGTTCAACAGTAGATGTGTTTTTCTGACACTCTTTCTGACTCCCTCCTCAGTGACAGCACTGCTGTTTAAGATGGAAGAGGCCAACATGGCCAGCAGAGCTAAAGCTCAGGAGTTCATCCAAGCCACCAGCCAGGTGAGGGAAACTTCTCCTCTCATCCTCTTTTACACCGTGTTCTTTTTTACCCTCGAGGGCCGCTACCCTGCTTGTTTTAGTTGTTTCCCTGCTTCAACAAAACTCACCAGTTCATGGAACATGAATTATTGTTAATCCGTCTAACTCTGCCCTTCCCCAGACGCTCTGATTACGGTCACATGAACACACACCACACACACACACACACACACACAGACCACATCCTTTCACACCAAATCACATCCTACAGCCAATGGCTGACTGATGTTTTAGGCTCCATTCATGTGTCCATCGTCTCCGTGTGACCACCTGGAGTTACAGGAAGATGCTTGATCAAGTTACTGA